TTTATGGGTAAGTTACACTGTCCTAGAAGTAAGCTGTTTCAGAGGCAAAGAGTGAGATAATGCCACCAGGACAGGGAACCGGATGGTGCTGGCAGGAGAGTAGTGGCCCTGCCTGGGGATCCTGCTGGTCTTTTTTATGGGGCTTCCCACTTCAGGTGAGCTGTGCCTCAGTTCCCTGGGTTAACTTCTTTCTTTGATCTCTGAATCTGGGATTTGTAGAATGGGAATTTGGTTACTGGTGGCTTTTGTGGGGCCTCGCCTGTTGCAGGTGTGACCTCGCAAGTGTGGGCTGTGGGTCCAGAAGGCTCTGTCTTGTCTCAGGGATACTTCTTCATCCTGAAGGTGACGTGGTCATCACCAAGTCACAGACTAGTTAACACCCTCTTTGATGCCTATGTCGGAGCAGGGCCTTGCTGAGGACAAGAATTGGCCTGAGACATGGTGTTAAGCTGGCTCCTCTCGGGCTGGCCTGACGTGGGGTTGGCTGCCCAGGCCTGAGTCTGGGGACCACGGTCCCTCTGGGTCCCCCACAACCTACAGTCAAGCTCCCCTCGGCCCCCCAGCCCCTCGAAGCCTCTCTTCCTATGTGCTGGGGGTGAGGGTTTCTAATTTCAGTCTCCCTCCCCCCCTTTTTTTTAGCATTCATTTAAAATTAAAGTTATGTTTCTGAGTTGAAAAGAAATTCACAGGTGCTGGAGAAAAGCGAGAAAAATTCTAAGGAGACACAGAGGAAAATTTTCAATATTCCCCCTACTGACAGGGTTCACTATTCTCCGTATTTTGTTCTCTTCACACGTGTGCCCCCTCCGGGAAGCAGACCTGGTGAGGAGGATGGCCTCCCTCGTAGGGTGGGTCCTAGGCCTCGGGATGGCTCCCAGGGCTCAAGGCACAGGCACAATTCCCAGCAAAGACCGCAGCTCCCCGCGGGGCTGAGACTGGTGTCAGCGTGTGGCTGTGTCTGTGCGAGAGCCGCTGGGAGAGGTGGGGACCATCAGGACTCGGGATTTGAGCCCACGTAACTTTTTGTTTGTTTCCTGCTGTGGCTGGAAACATCACCAGGCTGGAGCTGGCCAGGGGTGCGGGGCTGTGGACTGGGCTCTCAGAAGTCCTTCTGTAAACTGGGCACTTGGGACTCCTTTCACGCTCATCTTGGTAGCTGCTGCCTGCTCTGTCCGCCCCTCCATCAAAATTGAGGCAAGAAGTGACGGCTGAATTTTAACCTCCTATTACACTGGAGGGAAAAAGTCCACCAGAAGATTCTGGTCCCACTTCTGCAATAAACTGTGCAAACTTGGGCAGTTACTCCTGGAGCTTCGTTTCCTTACCTGGAATGTGGGGCTGAGTGATGCCCACCGCTCAGGGCAGCCAGAATGGTGACAAGAGGTGACAGTGGGTGCTGGTAAGGCTGAGCTTCCTTTTCTCTCCGAGCAGGCTTGGAAAGGAAGAGAAAGATGCCCATTGTGCTTGAGGGGAGAGAACGGAGCCTGGCCCTGGGAACCGAGGGTGGAGTCGCCCCAGCTGCTGGCATCGCTGATGTCATGGAGGCTGCCTCCTGAAGGCCGAGCCTTGGAGTGGGCGCTGGGCTGCCTCCTTCCTTCCAGCCACAGATTATTTCCCAAGGGCCTGGCCCAACTGGGGGACTGTGCTAGGGGTTGGGGACAAAGTAGTGGACAAGGCAGAAAGATACTTGCCCCCTTGGGGATGTGAAGGAGCAGACAGATGGCAAACCAGTCACGAACCATTAAAGCTCCACCCACTGCCTGTGACCAGGGCCATGAAGAAGTGAGCTCAGTGCTGAGATGGGGCATGATCGGGGAGGCTGCCTTGAATGGGGAGTCCCACAGGGCTCCCTGAGTGATGGTCCAATGGAGCCCTAAAGAGAGAGAGGGAGCCCCATGCCGGAGGGAGGGCATCTTCACTCCTGGGGGGAGCCCGGTGAAGTGCCTGAGGGATGATCGGGGGAGGAATGTACCTCTTTTGAGACAGAAGGACACAGTGGTTAAGGAGCTGGCCCCCTGCCTGGCACGAGGTCCAGCTCTGCCACTTATTATTTAACCTCAGTCTCCTCGTCTGCAAAAGGGGATAATATTAAAGGTGAATTCCTAGAATTGTTCCAAAGGTGAGATGCATGAAGGCATGATGCTTATGCACCATGTGCTTGGTCCATACGAGTGTTTGCTGTAGTTAGTACGGCTCCTGTGCACAGCTTCGCTGTGACGGTGGTCCGAGCATTTGAAAGGAGGCCTGGGCAGCACATGAGAAGGAGGAGAGGGTGGTGGGGGCCCCTGCACTCAAGGGCTTGAAGGCCACAGGGAGGAATTTGGATTCATTCAACAGATAGGGGTTTTGATCCCCAAATACTCCTGATTTGCAATACTGCTTCTTCCAAAGCTGGCAAGCGCGGGCAGGAGAGCCGAAGGGTGGGTGGAGTATGGAGGGGCTGGCTTTGCTGCCCCCTCTGAGGTCTCAGGCCTCAGGAACAGGCACTGACTCCCAGCTGTCCTTGGCAGGGCCCCGGTGCACCATCTCCCGCTCCCCTGGTGGGATCGGGCTCTGGAGCTGGCCTAGGCTGGCTGGGGGCAGAGGCTGTGGGGTGCACGTCTCCCGCAGGCATCACATGTGAGGGGTAGGGGGGGCACCATCTGACCTGTCCAGAGGAGTGGGAAATCTCTCTAGTTGTGTCATGCCAGCGGCTGAATCCACCCACCTGGTCTGGGCACAGGTGTGTGTGACTCCCGCCTCCACACCTGCCCATGTGGTGGTGGCCGCACTGCTCAACTCCCTAGACTCTCCATAGCCCCCTACACGCCTGCATGCACACACACACACACACACACTCACTCACTCATACACACCTCTCTCTCTGTCCTCATCTTGGGAATGACACCTCCGTTCATTCATTTGGCTGCTCAGGCCCAAACCTGGGTGTCGCCTGTGAATCCTTCTTTTCCATCACCCTCCACCGTGGTCCACGAGCAATTCGCGCAGACTCTCACCTTCAGCATCAACCCAGAATTTGGCCGCTTCTCATCGCCTCTGCTCCAGCCATCTTGGGCCGAGCTGCATCCGCTGGGACTGCGTTATCACAGTGGCCTCCTCCTCGTCTCCTCCACGCAGTAAAGCTTGAGATGCTTTCTACTCAGACCCACTGAGGCTCCCCCTCACTGTGTCCTGCCTGACCCTGGTGGCCCCGGACCCATCTGCTGCCTCCTCCCCTGCAGTCTTTGGCTCTGGTCACTCTGAATACCCTGCTGCTCCCTGAGCAGGTGGTTTCTGTCCCCACCTCGGTGCCCATGCACTGGTCTGCTTTCTCCCTAGCTGTCATGCTCTCTCCTGGACAGTCACATGCCCGTTTCTTGACGTTTTGCTGAGGTCTCTGCCAAGCATCATGCTCCATTCCTTTAAAAAAAATTACTTATTTTAATGAAGGTACTGGGGATTGAAGCCAGGACCTCGTGCGTGCTAAGCATGTGCTCTTCCACTGAGCTACACCCTCTCCCCTGCCATTCACTTTTTTACTAGAATTTACCACTGCCTGTCTTT